TTCTAGCTGTTATGGTCGAGGAGAAAACTGAAAAGTAGAGGTGACGAACTGTTCTTGGACGCACTGTAGGCTTAAGCAGCGCAGTATTTAATACCCAAAAAATGCTACCAGGTTTCGTTAAATTTCCTATTAAACACATATTATAGAGCTTTTGAAGGCGCATCGAATGATGTATGAATGATTAGAGATCCTTTTTAGTTTCATAGAGAAAAGTGATCAGAAGTTTCCTTGGAAATGCAGCAATCTATGGAAAAGTCTAGTATTAAGTTCATACAACCTGCTGCCAGGCTTCGTTAAGTTTCTTATCAACATATATTGTAGAGCTTTTCAAGGTGCATAGATTCTGTGGGAATATATTCGACTGAAAGCGCTCGGAAGGGTTGAAATCATCGAATATGATGATCGGATGTGATTCTGATGAGCTTTGTACGGATTGAAGCGGTTAAACTTAGTGGGCCGATTTCAAGTCTTATGCGGACTTCACCTTTTTAAAATTATTTTTTGCAGGAAGTGCACCCCCTCCACATATTCCTAAATTCTCCACTTGGAGCAAATCGTTGCAAACAAAGCAAAACAGTCCAAAAATAGCTTGGATTATGAAGCCTTGCCGCTGACCTTTCTCTACTGGCGAACCTAGAAACTTTTTTCGATGGATAGTGTCAGTACAAAGGAAAAGAGTTCCAATGGAAACGGAGCACCGAAAACATAATCAAAAAAATTTTTTTACTATTAAAAATTCAAAATTTTAGTGTTTTGTGATACGAGCGTTCACACCCGCTGCACCCATCATAAATCTGCCACTGCCTATATCGATTGCCGTATTTGAATCTCGGTTCGGAGTTTGATTTGATACACGGCATGACGAATCTTATTGGGCTGTTACCAGAAGAATACTTTAATCTTCAATAATGCTAACAAAACGTAGTTCCCTTGCATGACGCAGTCAATGCTGCAGGACCAGCACTTTATGAGAGCAGACTGAAAAATATTTTCATACATTTCTCAAATCTTCTTAGGCGACCTCTATCCAGTAGCGTGTTGATTGCTATTTGTGTTGTCCTGTCACGTAGTGATATGCATCAAAATTTTGATTGTTTGAAGAATTGTAAGATTGTAACTGTAAAAAAATATGAATAATAAGCTTACTTATAATACAATAATAAGTTTACAGTATCTTTCATTTAATTTTGCTGAAAAAGGAAGTTATAGTCATCACTGCTCAACTCCTTTGATTTCGGTTTTAGATTCGTTCGCAGTCCATCTGCAGAATCCTTTACTTCCTAATACTCCAGCAAAGTACCATTTATTCTTATCTTCTCATTGAGCTATCGGTAGTTAAACTTTTCGTACGGTAAATAATTCTTTTTTGTTTCGTCCTTATTAAGCTTTAAAAAAGTTTTTGCTAATGGTGTTCATAATGACGACACTTGAATAAATGGGATGTATGTATAATCGTCAAAAAGAGCAACGTGTTCTTTTTAAGTACTGTAGACTGTAACCCCACAAAACAGTGTATCAGAAATTCTGATACAAAAATCGGAAAATCAGAAAGCGATCAGAAAAAAACGCCAAAATCAGAAAAATTCTGATAAATAAGAAGAGTTGGCAACCCTGATCAGAATCATTCAAGAAAAATATCCTTTGCCTAAAGGTATTCCATTTTCATTATTAAAACACATTCAAAGACAAAGATATTTATAGAAATTGAATTTTATTTCAAGATAAGATACAAATCACACAAGCATGGACGGACTTAGTTTTCGTCTGGCTGACGAGAAGAATTTGCACAGTGAAATCACCCACATGTCTTGGAATCCCGAACATGACATAATTGTTGTCTGTCATGCCAATGGAGAAGTAAATTATACACAAACTAGATTTTTCATTCCTGAGAATGTTATTTTGTTTTAGGTCGTAGCCTATCAAGCTTATATAAGAAAAATTTGGGGTTTGGGAACAAAAGGAAGAAAGCAAAAGGTTACTGGTATTGCTTGGCGACCCGATGGACAAGGTACGTGACGGTGTTGAATGCAACACAAGAGATACCAGATTTTACGATTAGCAAGCGAATGATCAGATGGTCTGTTCAGACAGAACTGTCAACTGCCACATAATGCTTTTGCTATTGTTAATCTTTAGTTCTTGCCGTTTCGTTTGGAAACCGAAATTTAGTATTAGCATCTGTTCAAGATGGTTACACATTATGCTCTGAATCATTGTCATTTGATGTTAAATCGTGTTGTTGGGTAGAAAGATCATCTGATGATGCTGGACAACTAAAATCACCATCTGCAGATTTAGCTCATCTCAATATAACTATCTATAAATATTTACCAATACTGATCGATTTACCATCCATAAATCGTCCAAGGAAGTTTATTGTCGATCCACCAGATGACTTATTTTGTTTAGCAAAACAGACAAAATTAAACATGTAAAATAAGTGTGTTCACCCTATTACTCGAATAAAATCTCTTAATTTTCTTTGTAGTTTAATTCTGCTTGGACAAAATGAAATTTTACTACGTGCATTTGGTCTATGGCCGTTATTATTTATTAATCGTTCAACATTATTCGTTGATCAATGTTTATTTGTAACAATGTCACCATTATTGGATCGTTTGTGTATACTTTCAACGACAAAATCAACATCCGATACGTCTATTTCACAATTACATTATTCGACATTTGACTGTACGTCATTTCTATCTGATTATCATCAAGACTACTTAGAATTAACACGTTCGCTATGTCGTATCAAAAGTCTTCTATTATTTGGTGAAAAAATATATCAAACATTAATCGATCTAGTCACAAAATGCTTTATAGAGTTCGATAAAAAAGTACAAACATTTTGCGATGAAACAAAAGAAATACTATTACAATCAGCACCACAACAGCAATGGACATTTCAATCAGAATTAATGTCATTATTAGCAACAGGTAATTGTTCCGAAAACATGTCAAATGGATTTTTCACAAATATTTATGATTATGGTTATTCAAAAAAGTTAATAACAACATTTGAAGAATGTAGAACAAAATCGAAAGAATTATTAATTTTGTTTGGACGGTAAGAATAGATATTAGAACGGATGTGATTGCTTAGTTATTTAGAAAGAATACGATAGTTTCAGTGATGGTAATTTATACAATTGCTTTTTTTTTAGTACTATTGAGCACATTTTTGGTTATTTAACTGAAATTAAAGGTCTCAGACAATGGCATGGTAGATACGAACAAATTGATTTTGATCCACAGTTAATTACAGGTACGATAATGACATTCATTGTTAATGTAACCATGTAAATACTTATACTTGTTTTATTTAGATTGTCTACGAGATGCTGGTTCATTATTGATGAAAAACAACGAATTTAGTGAGTAAGTTAATCTAAATCAAAATGAAAGGACAGTTACATTAACTCTCCTTTATTTATAGCTTTATTCATGAAATGTCAAATGTTTACACATTTTTTCTTCGATGGCTTGGTTTTGGTGAGAATTTTAAAACTTTTTCCGTGTTTTATGTTATTTTTGTTGTTAGTTTAGTTGCACATCAGTTACATGCAGCAAAAACCGGTGGACCAAATATGCATTATGACGAACAGCTTGAGGTATAACAAGTAACTATTACTATAACGTTTTTTGAGAAAATTATTCGTTTTAGTGTACAGAATCCGATTGGGAACATTTAATCGATTTTATTGATACTTATTACGCTTCTGACCGACCTCTCATCGATATTTTTTCTATGGTAGGTCCACGATTTAGCAGCCAGATCATTTAGCAAGTACATCTATCACTTTCTTTTTAGTATTTAAAATCTGAAAATTTACCAGAGACAATGACAAGAAATACACTGTACAGAGAACTTTGTCATTCAAGTATGTCGTATTTTTCGGCAATAATTAGTCGTCTGATTCATTTTTTCTAATTTTATTTTAGATGAAGATGAAAATGTATTTTTTTCTCCCAAGAGTAATCGTTCATTATTTGGTGCCTTCCAAGATTTGAAACAATCGACCCAGAAACTGTTTGAAAACCGAAAGGTATTTCATTTCAAAGACTTTCTCTGTATAAATCTTGAACTATATAATATCTTACTTTTCCAATGTTAGTCAAATTCGTTTCATTCAAATAAAAATGTTCAAATTTTGGCAACAGTGTAAGTAGAGAGACTGCTTGGCTGTAAACATCAATTATTTATGAGCTTTTGTTGTAGACCGTTTCATGTTCTACCAGAAATGGATCATCGACAGAGTCCTCAAACAATCACGGTTGCTATGCATTTTACTGATAAACATCAACAGCAGTTTCATTTGATAGTACATGATTTTCAGTAAGTATTGGGTGCGCACAGATCACACGTCGCTATCTGTAGTCAAGCTTATATGAAATAAATTTTTGATAAAAACGATTAGAGGCATCGTCATCTCGTCTTTTTTGTTTTTACCTGATATTAAAAAATTCACAGTTCACTCAGAAAACATCAAAACGAGTGAAAAACTTCAAGATATGGTTAATTTTGTCTGCTAAACGTCATCATGAAATGGAAAAAAACTGAAAAGCCATGCTTTGTCTAAAGAGTTTCTAGAAAACTTTTCCTAAAATCGCAGAGTTCTCTATATAAGATTTCTAGTAAGGTTCTAAGTAGATTTCTTATGAACAGAATATGTAATACCTAGATACTGTACATTCTGATGTTTTATAAGCGAAGTGTGAATTATTCGGTAAAAACAGGCGGAAAATCCTAATTTTTGTAAAACTTGGTTTTCGCTTGGTTTAAAATTTTTTTCGTATGAAGAACTTATAATCCGTAACCTTAAAACTTAGTCTATACAGACAACTTCTTCGGCTCTGTCGAACAGCCGTCTCGGATTTTTTTGAAAACTTTCGTTGCAACCAAAACGGAGCCTACTTAGGCGAGATTTTTTAATGAAAACTGTTTTTTGTGAGAGTTTTTTCATCAAGTTCGACATGATTGTTTTAAAAAGCAAAGATGAGGTTATATGTAACTTCCCACGGACTACAAGGTGCGCATAATGAGCCTGCCGATTTTTGGTCTGTAAAAAGTGGACGGAGCTGCACGAAAATGTCCAGTTTTACAGAATGATACTACTGCCACCCTGATATGTTTCTGATAGAAAAAAGTCATCTGTAAAGAGTAAAGCATTTCTGACTTAGACATCTACGTTCTTGCAAATATAAAAACCAATATCTAAGTTCAACATTTCTAGAATGACTTTACATAGATATATTTTGGAAAATCTTGTTTATAGTTAGTTCATTTTGAAGCGCAGAAAATTCTCCATTTTCCACGCTCTTGTTAAGAAGTTGGAAATCATGCGAAAAGCTTGAGATAGAGGGTGAGTGCTGTTGATTGGGAAAGTAATAAATAATTATAAGAGATTTCTCTGTATAATTTTTTAGAAGAAGTTTTGGAAGTCTAAACAGATTCTGAAGTGAAGTGTTTCGTGAAGCATTTCTGATAATTTATGCTCAAAATCGTATTGGGCAATTATCTTACACAGACCGTTTCCCGTTCTTTACAACGTACTTATAGAAGAAGGGAAACCTAGTCTGAAAGATAGGCTAAAGTTCGATAAATGTGAACAACTGGACATTTCTATGCCAAGTCACAAGTATTTTTACATTGAAAACGATGTCATCAATGAATTTTGACTTGTTTTCTTACTTATAAGTAAAAAAATTTTCTGGTTTAACCTTGAAACTTGGGAGAAAAATTTATTCTCCTTACTAATGAATATTCCGAAAACCAGCTTTGCAATGAGTACGCACCATTTAGTACAGCCTCAAACTGGCTCAAACTTTGCACATATATTTTTCCATTTTATACTGTACCTGTAATAGTAGCATATCAATGCATAAACGTCTCGGGACCGCGTTATGGAGTTTTCGAAAACCCTTGTTTTTGACGTATTTTATTTATTCCGAAAGCATGTCTAATCACAGCAAATATCATATTTGGAACTAGTCCGTTAAATTGGATCGAATCATATAGAGGAGAAAAATTCTCCTTCAACATTGTCTGTCCTGAACTATTGAGTTCTAATAAATCATATTAGAGCTGAAATAAGAGTTTATAACGAATAAAAATATCGTATCTGTCTAAAAAGCTAAGAGTGTTCACTGTATCGTGTATGTATGTTCGATATATTTAGTTTTCTTTACGTTCGTTTAGGAATAATAGCTGTATTGTTCAGATTTTGGATTTGCATCAAGCACTTGGACCAAATAGGTAAGCTATTTAGTTTCAGTAAATATACCTGATGCAATAATTTCTACTTAATGCAAGTATTTGCTACGTTAAGCACATCGGATAAACGTGTAAGAAAACTAAAAACTTATCAAATTACTTTGAAAGTAGGTAACATAATTTATAACAGTTAAAACTAAAACCTACTAAAAAGAGAAATCTTAAATAAGATTAGCCATTCATCAAGCAAGCAGAATAAATTCCTCTAATATAAATCATATACAATTAATATAATTAACTTTTGTTATTTAATCTTAGAACAATATCCTGTTTCAAGATTTATGATGATGTCAAATTGGCATTAGCTTGTTCTCTTAATACCGATAGTTCTAATACGAATGAAGTAAACTCGGTTAATAATAATTCTCATTTAATATTAGTTGATTATAAAAATACTTCAACAAAAATGGAATTATCAGAGAAAAATTCAACAATAAAGTAAATATAAAATTTTCTAGTGTATAAATTTATTTTATTTCTTTTTATATATTTGTTACAAGTACAATACCAGTGTTCAATTGTGCAGTAAGTCTTATACAACAAATCAAAGATACTCCATTGAAATTGGCAATCGATGGACGAAGAAATCTAGTTGCTCTAGTAAGATTAGCTATTTATTTATTTGTGTTTCTTTTTTCATGACGCTTTAACAGAGAAATGAAAAAAGTATTTGTTTATGTATCAATGTTATTTGAACTTTTCACTCAAGCAATTTCTTTCGGCATATTGTTTACGTGTTCTTTCCCTGTAATATACGTCATGTTTATTTTCATAATTGTGTACTAGATATTTAATATCACGTTTAAATAACATAAGAAGAAGTAAATGACTTTTAAACTAATTCGAACAGTATTTTAACGTTCTATACATAACTATAATGGATTACTAATTCGTATATAAACTAGACCAGCTAATATTATTATAACTAATCTACTAAATGTCATACACAATTTAGTAGTCATCTTTGTAAATTAAGAAACAAAAAATTCCATCTGTTTTTTTAGTGGTCAACAAACCGAAAATTTTCAACATTTATTCATAGTCCAGATGAAACAACAACTACAAATTCAAATCGAATGGAAGATGATACTTGGGTGACTTCTGGTACAACAACTACATTGATGAATACAACTAATCGAAGTCAAATGACATTTTCACAGGAAAGTACCAAAACAAATATCTAATATGAGTTAAATAAATTTGTTGATATTTTTTTTTTTTTGTTCTCAATCTTTGCTACTGTTTCTACTAGTTTAATTTTTTTTTTACAATAAAATTGTCTTGTCTATTAGAAAAATATGACAAACTAATTAATTTTCAATTAATAATAAATAATGGTAAGCAATTTTTGATAAATGTTAACATAATGTGTTTGACTTTTACCTTTTGATTAAGAAAGAAATTTATAGGATCATACTAACTTTTTTATGACTAAACAATTAATTCAATCTTGCTTCTACATTTTAAATGTGTTTACGTACATGTGCATAGGATGGATAGATATATTGCCATTAAACAGATCTCTATAAAGGATGTATATTAGAAGAGAGACAATATTCTTCTATTCTTTTCTTTTCTTTTTGTTACAATAACAAATTAATAATAGAAAAAAAAGACTCGACATCAGCAAATATTCGTTGTAAAATGAGATGTGCTCAAAGAACACATTAATTATAACAAATAATCAAATTGATTGTATTAATAATAATTGGTAGTCATCAACGTCAGAATAATAAATCTGAAACAGAAAAAAAAGCCAGAATATTTTCTATTTTTGAAACGGAATCGATTTTGTTTCACAAAAACATGGATAAAACTCGTTGACACATTAATTATAACTAGAGAATACCGTTAAAGAATAAGTTATGGAAATGATTGGATCTGAAAAATTTCTTTTAAAAATTTTTATAAAATAAATTGTCTTAGATAAATAAAGTACGATTAAATCTTATTATGCAAATTGAACGTTACTATTTGTTTTTGTTTTCATATCTGAAATTGAAATAGAAGTCACAAAGATAAACAGAATAACTCAATAAAATTGAAAATTGATTATGAATAATTCGTTATGCACTATTATTGTATGCATTGTTTGTACGATTATATCCATCTCACATCACAATGTGGGTTTACATCTCCGACAAGTTTATTATATGCTGCTATACATATTTTGAAGAATTTTTTCTAGTATAAATCTGTTTCAAATAGAGATTCTTCTCGAAGTGTATCTTATTCTTTTGATTTAGCAGAATTTGACGAAAACAGGTTGTCTTTACCATGGTCTTGAACAAAATTAGATGAATTTTATAAAAAAATTAAAATAACTTTACTATATTTGAACGATCTCTTTATTTTTTATTGTTTGAAGTTAAAAAACTAAATATACTCTTAGATAGAATTACCTCTCCATTTGATGAAGATAAGAATAAACAGCAAAAATTGTTTTTAATTTTTATGTGTAAAAGTAGTTTCAACGATATCTCATTTGGGAATGCTAAAATAACAATAATAATAGTATTACACAACAATCAAGGCCAATCAAATGGTCTTTCGTTTTTGTACATATTGATCGCATCAAAGTTAATAAAACAACAGCGTTCAAAAATAAAAAAATAACTTTAAACAACTGACAGGTTAAAACTTCAAAAAATTTTCGCTGTTATTTTCATATTGATGAAGGAAAAAATTGAAAGTGATAGAACTCCCATCGATTTTAACTTAAAATTGACGAAATGTATCCTAAACTGTTTTAAAATATATTTCAAATGATGTCTTTTATCGAATCGCATAATACATACTCATTCTTTAGTCATTCAATAGTCATATGGCATATAAACTTTTTCTTGATGCAAAACTTTATATCATGCGTTCAGTAGTAGAGAAAGAGCGATTCAACATTCAAGACAGAGTTAGTTCATACTGATGATCAAAAACATTTACCGAATCGTCTCACTTCATGTTATAGGAGAACAATAACAAATGAATCTTATCGTATGGACTTGTATGACATTGTGATAAGACTTATAGAACCAATGATACAATAAAAAATACTCGAGAAGCAAAGAAAATCGAGCAGCAGTCTTAATCATAAAAGTTATCTATCTTTCTTTGTACATGCCATGCGTATACCTCTTCTTCATTTTCCTGTTGATTTACGAAGACAAATTACCTCATGAAGTTAAGAAGGAGGATGTAGAGTTTAGATTTATTCTCACACAGTATAAATATAGTAAGAATAATATCTTTTGTGTGGACGCAAATATCTGACAGTTTTACAAATTATCTAGTGAAAAGAAATGATCATTTTCTAAATTTTTATAACTAACGAGCAGTTGACATACAACCAACTTACTGTCAATGGCATTCAAAATAAAAGCCAACATATTCTCAGATCTATTAAGAAACAACAATCGCTATCTTTTCTTGAGTTATTGATTACAAGAATATTCTTGATACAGATGCAGTCGATTGGCAAAACGAATGAATTAGAGCATGTGTTACACATCGCTTGGTGGCTAATTATTTATCACATATTTCGAAGGTACTAAGTTCGAACTTCGACGCTCGCAAGTTATGTAATAACCTGCAACAAGTTACTTATGCCTTAGTATTTTGGATCATCCGTTCGATAGCATACTCACTGCATTGTGACATACAATAGAGTTCCTCTGACTGGTCTTCGTGGCTTCTCAGAAAGCTAGTACATGATTAGTGACTGCCCACAGAGAGCTCAAGTAGCTGAACGACAAGAATTTGAAAAGAAGCAGAGCAGATATGCATTTGAGGATTAGTAACGATATGGGTGACCATATAAGAAGCTTGTGAAACTGTGAGGAAAATGTGGAACTATTGGAACTGCCAGTATCCTACACTGGTAACAGTGGCCACAAGACCGAGTATCCTTCCTTCTTGCATCACGTCTGACTTTATCAAAGAAATAAAATTGAAATAAAATCTATTTAATTAACTTTTTGAAATTTTCTTTAATGTTTTCAGCCGACTAGTGAATGACATTCTACGAACTATCAAGATTGTAGTATGTTTAGTCCAGTGACTGTTCTTCAAGCATTTAAACAGTTTTAAATTGTATTACTGGAAAATAAAAATATCTCTTGCGATCAATGAGATAATTAGACGTTAAATCACCTTGTTTATCCCAATTTTTATTAGATACTAATCTTGGTACTCTATAGTATCAACTTCATCTAGCAAATTAGTTCTAATTAACAATCTAAAAGGAATATGAATAAAAGACCTGCATGATAAAAGAGAAATAGATAAAGAAAACTAAATTTGTTTCAGACATTTCGTGTATGTATCTATCAATGAGAACGAACCAATTATTTTGTACAAAGACGTATTGAAGTTTGTTTATAGATAGACTAGAACATCAGGTATTAAAGATGGCAGAATGAAAGAAAGAAAAAAAAAGGTTATGTTTTTTTCTTGTGTATCTATAAGAATGCCGATGGTACAGCATGACAGACTTTTGATAGTCATCAAAGTTACTTACTAATCCTCTTTGTAGAACAGGGAGAGAGAGAGAAAAGAAACAAGAAATGTATCTGTTTATTATACAGATTTAGCAATCTTTGTAGATAAATGTTTTATAAAATTCCTCAATCTATCACTGCTCTTTCTCTCTCTTTCTCTCTCTCTCTCTTTCTCTTTTTATATCCTTATCGTGGTTCGTCATTCTGTATTAATATTCATATGTATCGGAGAAGAATCTCGTTCGTTACTTTTTTCTTCCTCATTATACGACGAAAAACTACATCGTTATAGAAATGAAGCAAAATAGAAAACGAGCCAATCGGCAAATTTACACAACATTCATATAAAAGAAAAGAAGTCTATAATCTATGAGAGAAAATTATTCCATTTTTTAGCTATAATTTATCCCCAGATAAATAATTAATAAATTATAGAAACGAAAACGTCTATATTAACGACACAAAGGTTTAATCTTTTCACAAATTAATCTTGTGAACCAAAAAATTAAATTATCACCACCACCACTATATACGCACATTTGAGACATATGTTTTATCCATATCATCTACATACCTATCTATACTACAAAAAAGGATACGTATGGCTTAATTTAATTCAATAACAAATTTAATTAATCGGATACCAAGATATAGATAAGTAAATGAATAATGATTTACAGGAATCAATCAATTAACAAATAATTAGAATGCATCATCATACAGGAACAGGTAAAATGTAGCTAGATTAGATTTATTACAAGAGTTCATTGTTTTATTTGATGAAATGTATGTGAATGTATGTGAAGGCACACGAAAAGCAGTTTTTACTTTTCACGTTTATAATTAGAGTAATATTCTTCGCTGAAACTACGGTCACATGGTTTTGTATGCTTTTGATACTACAATCGAAAGAAGTAGCGGTTAGTAGAGATAAAATCTGAAGGCAGATATCACTTAATATTTTCCATGCATTATTGAGCTCATTTCTGTCTCCTTATAGAAACTGTACAAGAATTCATAATATTATACTAGAATTAAGCACAAATTAGAGGCGAACTATAGCATAGTAATTGATTTTAAGTTTGAAAAAGTTATCTTGCAAGTACCAACAGTTCTGCGAGGGCTGTACCAAAAATCCGATTTTTTTCGATTACTGATGGTTATTCCTTATCTTTATTCTCTCCACCGCTACCAGGTTCAAATAATTCTAAAAAATACAAGGATTTATTGGAAACAGTATGTAACTAACGCTATCTTAACGTAAAACGTGTTTTGAACTGAAGTGCATCATCCTGCTAAAATTGTTAGAAACGTAATATTTGCTCCTACTAGTTTACCTATTCCTTGCTAATTATCAACATATTGAAACTGATAAAATGGAATTAAGGTACATGGATGATATACAATATGTTTCTTCTGAAATGTATTCTATTGTAATAAAATGGTTTTCCTTTCTTCTCTGCATACTTGTTGTACATCTGTTTTAAAGCTATCGATAGAAAGTCGTACCAAAATAATTTATTTAACCACAAAACATCTGTTGATCAAAACTACTAGTAAAAGTAACATAAAATTAGAATAAGAAAAAACGAAAGCTAAAAAATGTGATAATAAATTCAATTATAATATTACAAGTGTATATATACTCTAATAACGATAATTTGTTAATCATATTACATATTACTACAGCTTCCTTTTTATTTATCAATATAATTCCCTTGTGTGTATACGTGTGTACCACGATTGCGTAAGATGTATTCTCTCTCTCTCTCTTATCGTTTGTGATGATGGTTGATTACTAATCTAATCAGTTAAGACAATCAGGCACATTATAACTGTTCAATTGACCATTAAAGGTTACGATGCACTTTCAAATACCAACATAGCCTTGCAAAAACTCTACAAAAACTGTACAGTAGCCACTCGGATAAAGTCTTGGATCCTTCTTAACCATAAACATATTAGTTAACGTGGTCTGTAATACTGAATTGCTATAAGAGCGAATATAGATAATAAATTTTAAATGATATTTAGACTATCTTACACCTTCGAAATGCAAGACAGACTCATCCGTGATATTGCTGCTTCATTGAAAGCACACATGTGGTTAAGCATGCACCAGTTTTTAACTGGAGTTGAGATCCAGAAAAATTGCTACATATCGGTTATCAAGATTTGCTCATAGCTGCGGAACGTCTCATTTTGTAGAAAAGTGTCCGCTCTACTAAATGCATTTATTAAAAAAATTCGAAAAATGTTTCTAACAAAACTAAAACATTTGAAAATGCACCAAATCATGAGAAAAAGCTGTTCGAATAGGCTTTTTTCGTGGTTTAATATATTTTCGAATGTTCTATATTTTGTTAGAAATATTTTTCGAATTCTTTTAAAATGCATTTGGTGGAGCGAACATTTTTCTACAAAATGAGATGTTCCGCAGCTATGAGCAAATCTTAATAACCGATATATAGCAATTTTTCCGGATGCCCCAACATCAGTGAAAAATCGGTGGATACCCACATGTGGTTATTTCCGAAATTTACTGAATCATTTGAGACATGTTATAGTCATCTATCTTGATTAGCGTCTTTTGCCTGTGGTTGATAACAAGACTTGAAAAGATGTAACGATTGTATTCAGATTGATACACATCAATTTCTGAGTTTTTTTTTGATAGAAATGGACGTATTTCTCTTTTCTTTCCTTCTAGTAGTACACGTACAAAATGATTCCACAATTGACTCGAGTTGTTTGATGTGATTGAGTTGTTATTGCTCAGCAGGTATTCGTGACCATATACTGATAAACAGATACGTTAACAGTCATAAATAAGAAGAACGTGGTGGTGATATATCAAGAGTTATAAACTACATAAATTCATGGTCTTCATCTTTCGAAGACGTTTTTCTTAATTTTTCGAATGAATGAGCGCCATTCTTCATTATATTGATGATATTGTTATCATACAGACTCAAGAGAATTCGTTACGTTCATTCGTCTTCTTTAGATATACTAAACTATCCAATTTCTAGGTGTGTTTAAACCGTTACTTGTCTCTTTTGAATGAGCACATGTGTTTTCAAATAGAGCAGGGAGAGAATATTAGTAAACGGTTATCAAAAAAGATTTTTCTAAAAGTTCACTTACTCTTGTCTGTTAGTTACAAGAAATAATAAATTCATTAAATCGCATTATAAATATGCATAAACGAGTTTTCAGTTAAATCCAAAGGATGTCGAGAATTATATACAGATTGTCGACTGTTTCTGACTTCTATTATTCTTTAATTTAGATTCTCCCTCACTGTCAAGTCCCGATGAGAAAAAATTCGGTCATCATCATTCTTTAAGTAGCAATCATTCAAAGTCTCACACAAATTCAAATGCCTCATCATCAGAGTCAATCAACGGACAAAATAGTGATAATAACGACAATGATTCCGATGGTAAACGAAAGAAACGTCGTAATCGTACAACATTTACAAGTTTTCAATTGGAAGAAATGGAACGTGTGTTTCAGGTTGGATTTTTTTCTAATACATAAGGTCTGTTATCTATTGAATGTTTTCTAATATTTCAGAAGACACATTATCCTGATGTGTACGTGAGAGAACAGCTTGCACATAGGTAAAATATTTTTGAGTTTTTAGTATTGTGAATTTTCAATCTAATTATCCGAATTTTTTGTTTTTAGAACTGACCTTACCGAAGCAAGAGTACAGGTAAGATGGTTTTTCATTTATTATTGAATGTAAAACATGGATAATACAATGACTTTGGACTCGAAGTATACTATTATATTACTATTTGTCTAAATATTGATTACATCTATATCTGTGTATACTTCATGTGGTTTGAATTTAGTAGAATGGATACTTCTGATTAAGTTTCTTCTCTTTTTACACGTAGTAGACGACTTCTGTATGAGTGTGTGCATGTTATAGAAAGAAGTAAAAGAAATTATAGTGCATTTTTCTATGTCCTTGCCAAAGATAAAGGCAAATGATATATCCATTTCCAGTATACAATATATTTCGAAAAATCGTCCTAGAACGAAAATATGTTGAAGCTTTCTTCATGCTCAAAGATGATTTTATTTTGTTAGAATAAAAAATATTATCTAAGCGTAAAATTGAATCCTTTGTGATTTTGTTTGTACTATATGTTACAATTTTGTATTTATAGGTATGGTTTCAAAATCGTCGAGCAAAATGGCGAAAACGAGAACGATATACTCAAGTTCCTCAAATGCGTACACTGGCCAATACATCAAATCCGTACGATATGGCATTGATCAGTAGTAACGGCGGCGTGCAATATCCAACAGTAAGACGAACGCCTTTTTATTAATTTTTTTTTTCGAATAATTTGAAATTTTCTATAATTAATTTAGTTATCAACGAATAATTGGTGTAATCAAACAGGAAATCCAATGCAAACACAATCGTGTGGTATTTCACCATCAGTGGGTGCGACTCCAATACAAAATTTTATGGGTACATTGGGAACTATGCCTTATCCTTTTCCACCATCGTCGTCTATTGGATTACAAAATACATCAAATTTTAACCCATCAACAATGTGTAACTATGGTTATATAAGTCCTGATCATCGTCAATCGAGTATAGCTGCATTACGTCTAAAGGCAAGAGAACATAGCGTGGCACTTGGCGGTATGTAAAAGTCATAACTGTGATGACTTTTTTTGTATTATTCATGGTTGCGACAATCTCAAATCCTGTTAATGTTTTGTTAGAGCACTAATCTATTATTTTATTTCATTATGCAAATTGCTTATTATATATAAAGTGGATCGTGTCTGTTTTTCTTATTGTTTTCTGTTTCTTTTTAAAAAAATTTTTTTTGGAACAGTTGTTCATATTGTTTGTTCATATAGAAAAAATATTTGTGAATTGATAACAACCACAGGAAGCAAAAATAATTATTTTGTTATCTTTCCAAAATAGAATTCGAAATTAGTTTTTGCAATATATTATTTCTAACTAGAAACAGGCCGAATTTAACCATATCATTATTATTTTCTTGTGATTTTAGTGAGTTACGGCATATTTCTTTCTCCAAAATACCAAATCACCGTTGAAGATAACTAACTTTAATGTTGAACATGAATCAGTCATTCTTTCAGATAATGATTGTTATCAATTGAAAGAAAGAAAAGACAAATTTTATTTTGATTTGCTAAAATTGAAACATGTGTGTACAAAAGAAAAATGATTGAAGTTATTTCATTAGGTTATCACTATATTGTATAAACACATTTTTTAGCTCATCAACATTCTGATAGTAAATAAATCGGCTACCTGAAAGAAATGAATAAAAATGACTTTATCATTACTCAAAACTATAATCAATTAAAATAGTAATTATCCAAAAATGCGTGTATCCTTTCAATACGACAAACGCTTGTACTGTCTCAACGTACATTAGAAATAAAATTTTCATGAGACACAAAAATAATTTAAGATTCTTAGGTAAGAATTTTAGAGAACAATGTTCATCTGCTTTCAAAATGTTATATGTTTTTTTCTTACATGTTTACAATGTTCCCATGATAATTTCATTATATCCTAAGTATCTTTATCAATTTATTTCAATTAATCAAACGATGTGTAATTGCTTGTAAATCAAACTACTCGCGGTATTGATACGATCATTAAATATACATTTTTTCTTTTCTATTGCTATGTGGGAGATTTTTAATCGAGAAATAAACTACTAAATCATGCTGAGAATAATAATATGTAGATGGTAAATAGAGATATATCTGTCAATATACACGTACATAAATATGTGTATATTTCCTTTAACAAACAAGAAAAAATAACAACCAATCCAACAGAGTCGATCTATGTTCTACATCATGTCTATGCCATGTTCAACTTATACAGATCCACACACAGAATATGCGCAAATGGGAAAATCGAGTTACAATTAACGTTAGATCTATCTAATATATACGACGAGTACTTGTTTTACTCATAAAGATTAATGTTATGAACTTGAAAAGATTGGACAGTCTCTTATTTGAATATGTTCTCAAGTAAATGAAACTTAATTTAATTATTAGTAAATAAATCTTTGACAAAAACGTAACAGAAAGTAGTAAAAAAAACTACTTCATGAACTTCTTCTTTCATGGAAACCATAATTTTCGTGATCGTTCATGGAGTATTTTGACTACTTTTTATGCAATGTTTTTGTACAAAAATACAATGTTTTCGTTTTCGTCTGGCGTTGGTCTAATAAATGACCGTTTGCTCTTTCTCACTGTTGTCGCGAATTTATCGATGCGGCATAGTGAAAATACCCAACCAGTTGTTCAAGGGGTACTTCGAGTGCTCGAAAATATGTTTTCGATCGGGCCTTCGTCGAGGGCTCGAACGCTCGGAAAATGACACTTCGGACCCTCGGTATAAGCTTTCGAGCGGTATTGATTTCGAGCCCTCGGATATCAGACAGATAGCGAGCTCTCGAGAAAAATTTCAAGCCGTCGAACAGAGTTGTTCAGGACTCTCGAGCCCTAATCGCACCGTCGGAGGGGCGAGATCTCGGAAGTTCCGAACATTGTACCTTTGGGCGACAAGGGCTTGGAAGTTCCGAACAACTCTGTTCGACGACTCGAAATTTTTCTCGAATGCTTGCTAACTATCCGAATTCCGAGGGCTCGAAATCGATACCCCTCGAAAGCTTATATCAAGGATCCGAATTGTCATTTTCCGAGGGTTTGAGCCCTGAGTGAGGACCTATTTTCGAGTACTAGTCGCACCCGTCGAACAACTTTTTTCATCTGTATGGGTGGGATCATATTATAGTGTAGACACTTCGTCAATTCTCTTTATCTCAGAATGATATTCTAATCTTCGTGGTACATTTAAGGATGTTTCACGGAGCAAAGCTCTGCTGTGAAAATTTTTTCACAGTAGAAAATAAATGAGAAAAAGTAAACGAACAAAAATTTTTCTGACTATATTGTAAATAAATGTTTGAGAAGTGATGAAAAAATCTGCCAGAATTACGATATCCAAAACATCTAAAAAGTATTTTAGAATATTGATAGAAACTAAAACTGTTTTGCAGTCATACCTGATGTCCAGCCTTTCAAAATAAAATTAAAAGAAAGGACATTTTGGTAAGCCAAAAGAACTTCTGTAACACCATTCTCACTGAATAAGAAACGGTATTAATGATTATACTGACCTGAGATCTTGTGACATTTCTTAACCCAATGTCGACTGTAAAATCCCTGAGAATTTGACTGACTGTAATCGACTGTAAAATCCCTGAGAATTTTCAAATTTATAGAAAATCCTCACCGATTTTCCACCCTTATAGAAAATGTTGATTTTCAAGATTCTTGAAAATCGAGTCGATTTTCTATAAATTTGATTTCCTAGAATCTTGAAAATCAAGAAGGATTTTCAAGTTTTTATAAAACCGATTGATTTTCTATAAATATTTTCCAAGATTCTTCTTCAATCATCGTTTTGTTTTACATTCTTGGGTAAGTATAAGTGTGAATATTTTCACACTTCGAATTTTTTTCCTTCTGAACCACAGTCCGTCGAGTGAATGATTTATAGAAGATCGCCGTTGATTTTCAGAAAGTCCATATATGAAATCGCCGAGGATTTTCTATTTTATAGAAAATCGAATTCTCAAGAATCTAGAAAGGGTTTTCTAGATTCTTGGAAATTCGATTTTCTATAAATAATTTTCAAGATTACAGTGTACAATATATTCTTCTCAGAAGATTTCTAATATTAACTGGAACGATTAGTTTTGATTATAATTATTCATATTTACGCTATGTCAATTGATAAGAAACTGCCTGTCGTCAGTGATAATAGTCCAGATTTAAAATCATAACCATGGGCCAGATTTTTCAGAGATGTTCAGATATCAGTGACACTAGCGACATCTGCCAGGATTTGGTCTTATTTCACTAATTGTTTCAAAAAAGATCGAAGATAAATTATAGTCTGTTTATAAAAAACGCTCTCACTATTTCTAAGAATTTTATCGCTCAACTTCACGTAGACAGAAAAGATAGATTATGATGCTACGTCCAACAAAAATCTAGTAAAGTTCTGCAGCATTAAGTTGTTCAAAAAAATCTCGACTGACGGTTAAAAACTCATCAACCGGTATATAGATTTATATTATCCCATTATTCCGACATAAAGTTTTTTTTGTTCAGTTTGTTCAATCATAATCAATTATACTATGAGGAGTTGAAAGCGCATCAATACTTCTTGATAAAAACTTTTTGTTCTACGACTTTTCTGTATTAATAGTTATTCTGTCTTCGTTAAGTGTTTTCTCAAACATCGTCTGCAGGAAAATGAGGTTTCCAACCTTTTCCAAGCTCAGAACCGAACGAAACTTTCACAGAATGTTCTTCCTATATCTGATACGTGTATTCAATTAGCACAAAGCGCACCCTTCCACTTTTTTTTGAAAGAAGCGAAAATATGGAAAATTAGAACAACTATTCGATAATATTATAACATTATAAACTAAAATACGAATAAATGATCTTTCTGTAGATTGATGCATTAGATTAT